GCATGACCCAACATCCCGTTCGAGCAACGGACAACCGGCAAGTGGCCAGGTGCAATTAATGCCAGATTGTGACATAAGCAAGTGGAAACATGGGTGACCAAGTCGGTGGAACAACAGCCAATCAACATAGAGCAGCCCATGCTCTCCATTAGTATAAATAGAAGGTTTAAAATCATTGTAAGGATTAGCATTTCAATACTCAGGCTCTAGAATAGCATTATTGCTCTTATTTCTTGTATTAAAGCATTGTTTCCGACCTACCGATCGGGAATTTCCTTGTAATCAGACTGGTTAATTAATACAAGTGAGCTTTTGAGTATTAGTGAGTTCATATTTTATATTTGGTTATACACTTTGATTCTGTACCATTCCTGATATATCCAAAGTTCGTGTTGGGCTTTCGGATCTACGGGATTTACCTTCAACAAATAATAATAATAATAATAGTATAATCGATAATATGAGAATGTTTCCAATTTGCTATGAATGTTTCTGATCTGAATGTTTCTGATCTGATCTGATGTGATCTCAATGCTTCTGATTTGATCTGAATGTTTCTGATCTGATCTGATCTGAATCTTTCTGATCTGAATTTTTCTGACCTGATCTGATCTGATCTGAATTTTTTTGATCTGATCTAAATAAAATAAGAATAAGACGAACAGAACAACACCTTAGTCCTATTTTGGGAATTTAAACTTTAAACTTTTATTGTTGCAATTATCCTTTTATTTACTCCTATTTATTTAAATCTCCCTTTATTATATTGAACGTTGAAAATGAAGAATGAAAAGATAGAAATTGATTTAATAATGTAGCTTATATATTTTATTTTTTCATATAAACATCCAGCTATTAATAATGAGACAATTTTGGTTCACTAGAAATAGTGTTCTATATTTCGAACATAATACTACTATTAGGGTTTATGTGTTGAAAACTCACAAAAGATGGGTTGTGATTCTAAAAACAAAATACATTATATTTTTTTTTAGTTTTCCCGTTTTCTCTCGATAAATTGCATCAATTATTTTATGAAAGTAAAAATGTTTGAACATTTTACGGATCATCAAAAACAATCTCTGTTCAAATTAAAAACATTTTTCACATTGGAACATACAGAGTATAAATTATAATGTTTATACATGAGTATATGAGTAGTAGTAACAAGCACTCAATTAACATAAGTTCAAAATATGAGTGTTTCTACGGTGCACTCCTTAATTTGGTGTGTTTTGGTACACATCCTTTTTAACCGTCCATCATCCTTTTTAACCACTCATTCCATTATATCTTAATCTTACGTCACCTAATATCCTCATTAACTAAACATAATAATTTGCCATTTTTGCATTTGGATCTTTCACCGAATTAGAAAAAAAAAAGGTTAAACTGAACAAAATCGTCAAACGAGATTTATTTAAATAGGAATAAATAAATATTTAATTATCAAAGTATGTGCAAAGTTTAAAAGTATTCTAAATAGGAATTATTATTTGTAGTTGGACAGGAGTACGAAAGTACCCCTTGAAGCTTGACAAAACTTAATGCAGCCGAACATCGCTGTTGACCGCCGACAACCAGCGCTACACATCTGGCCGCCGCCTCCGTACATCTGGTCAGATCTGGGCATCACCGATCTGAGCATCGACATTGCACATCTTGCCATGAACCACCACCGTACATCTGACCAGATCTGGCCACGTCGGCCGCCGTGGCTAAAGATCCGGCCTCTACCACTAAAGATTTGGCCTACACTGACGCCCCGCGGATCCGGATCACCGGCATAGGGAACTAGGGAGCAATTGTTTATAGGTTTAAATATGATTTAAGTCCCTGCAAAATATTTTTTTTATGTTTTTCATCCTTTTATTATGCATTATTTGGTTTTTAGTACTACGTATATCACTAAAAAAATTCATCCCAATAATTTTTTTGAGGAAAATATGAGAGTTAAAAAAATAAAAACTAATTACTCACATTTTTAAAATACGTATTAAATTCTATTAAATCAGCGGTAGATTAAAAGAAAAACTAACATACATTTTAGAAATGAAAAACAAAAAAATAATTTGTAGGGATACTATATTTGCATAGACTAAAAAAATATTTAAACCTTATTTATATTAGGAAGGACAAATATGGTATAAAAGTCCTATTTAAAAAATAAAAATATACACAGTCCTATTTAAAAATTTAAGAAACAATTCAATCATATTTAGGCTAATAAGTCAATCCTCACTGCAAGTCGTTAATCATATTTAGTAGCACAATATTAAAATGTGATTGGATAAGAAAAAGTGTGTACCGGTACACTCAATATTTAGGAGTGCATCGTAGAATTTTCCTCAAAATATAGTTATCGCGAATATACAATATTAATGTTTACCTTTTTAAAAAAATACTAGAATTTATCTTTTTATATGATTTGCATACCTTTTTAATATATAAAATATCATTTTTCTCAATTTATTAGACTTTTATTTAAAGCAATAAGACCAATTATATACACCTCGGCTAATAATTAACGACGTATGTGTGTGATTGCGCAAATTATATCGTGAGATCGACTCAATGATTGCGCAAATATATGTAAGGTGTACCGATCCCAAAATGACCTAGTTTTTTATTAGACAATCATGGTTGCTTTCTAGCCAATCAGTTGTGGCTTGCCGACCAGCTGTGTGACTGCTCAACCCATGACACCGCTCAATCTCTGGACCAGTCATGATCTCGAATGTCCTTGGAAGCTGACCAACCGGCTCTTGATGGAAACTTGAACATCAATCTTGAACGGGAACCCAGCACGCAGGGAACGTGACTTGCCGCCCGATCGCTTTCACCGTTCGCCCCCCTTGCCTGTGCCATTTCCCGCTGGTAGTACACCGCCCCTGTAGACCTGCCACACCATGCTCATGAGTGTGGACTAATTGGCCAAGCACCATGCGAGAAAGCAACAGTACTGATTTGGCTGAGTTGATTAGAAATCTTCACACACATATATATAATCCAACAATTTATATTTTGATTTGACTCAAATTACATTTGAAAAAACATGCAGTTACAACAGGATTTGCCTAAAGTTACATATCTATTAGCGTGAGTTACATGTCAACTTTTCTCAGCAAGTTACATCTTGCTTACATGTGATTTACATTTTCCATAATACGAGTTACACAATAATATAATGTGAGTTACACAACACAATAAGCCCTTTTTTTTAAAAAATATATACAAAAAATCGTTTTAGAGTCCTCATATTAAAAACAATACATATACACTATTTATGTAAAATAATTGGGCAATTTGACTCATTCTTTTTTCATTATTTACATTGAAATCAATGTTTATTGTTTATACTGTGTATTAGACAAGTTACATCTGACTTGCTTCTAGGTTACATTTCAATTAAAGCAATTTACATTTCAACGAGTTACATTTGAATGAGTGTCATTTACATTTTGATTAACTTGAACTCAGTGGCGGACCTTCTTTGTTCAAGAGTGTTTAAGTGAACACCAAAAATTTTAAAATTAGGAGTAAAAATACATGTATAGAATTGATGTAATAATTTATATATTGTGCTGTTAGGTAACATCTTAATGGTAAAATAATTTCGAATACCCAATTTACATATGGATTCACACAATTTACATTACATAAAACCCTGTGAGGAGGATGCTCACTCTGCACCGCTCCCATGGTATAGCAACTGGATTGATTGTGTATCTTAAGAAATTAAGAGTCATTGTCAAAAATGCATTTGTTTTTGGCCAAAAAACTTGAAGAGTTAATATTCATCTGGAATTATTGATGGACTCGGGCCGGGTCGGGCCCGGGCCGGGCCTAAGCCCGGTCGGGCCGCCGGGTAGTATGACATGGGCCCGAGACCGGCCCGAGGGTTGGACGGGTCCGGTCCGGGTCGGGTCCGGTTCGGGCCGGGCCGGTTAATTTTTTTTTATAATTTATATTTTATAGTTTATAGTTTTATACGAGTATTAAAAACAAACTTCAATTGCATTTATTTGAAATGAAATAGGAACTACATTTGAAAATTAAAACAAACTTTAACAGATAAACATTTTGAAAATTGTAATCAATCGGAACTTCCCGCACCTCCCGATCCTTTGGCTTTGTCACATGACTTCATATGCTTGATTGTCATTCCGAATCCGCCAGAAACCCCCATGCTACATTTTTTCTCGCACCATTTGCAAATTGCGTACCACATCCCGGTCTTCGGGTCCTTCTGCTTATCAAAATTATACCGTATAATGGCATCTTGATTTTCCATCTTAACTTCTTAAGTATTAACTATAAAGTAGATATATAAATAATAAATATAATATATTGGAGAATAAGAGAATTAGAGAGTAGAGAGTTAAGAATAGGATTTAGGAAGAATTAGAGGAGATATGAAAAAATGTTTAAGATTAGGAGTATTTATAGGCTTTTTTACCCCCCACCCCCCCCCACCACCCCCCCAGCAGCCAACCCCCCCGGACCCCCCCCCCCTTTACCCCACCCAACGGCTATATAGCCGTTTGGGTTGTCCCCAGCCCCACCCCCACCCCCAACGGCTAGTAGCCCAAACCAATTTTTTTTTTTAAGATTAGACCCGGACCCGGGCCCGGGCCCGACCCGGCCGGGCCAGGTCACAATAATCCAGCACCGAGCCCGCCCCGCCCCTTCCCACCGGTTCGGGTCCATAACCGGTCCCGGACCGCCCGACCGGGCCGGTCCCGGGCCCGCACAGTACCGGGCCGGGCCGGGCCGGGTCACGGGCCGGGTGGCCCGAACCGAATCCATCCCTATCTGGAATTAAATATGGAGCCCTTACTTGCATCCATTCCCTAGTTTCAACACCCCAACATTATCAGATTAAAATAAACAAGAACAGTTTAGAGCAGACCACCATTAAAGAACATTGCAAATTCTTTTTCTATTACTTCAATTAATGATTTATTGTCATATTATTATTACTATTATGAATATTATAATGAATTTAAGATATGATCTAGGTTATTTTGGGGTTGAAAACAGTCCAAGCAAAAACATCCTCGGTAGTTCTTCAATATATATATTCACATGAAATCAAAATAAAAATAAAAGAATTGGTGGAATACTGAAATAAAAATAAAAAAACAAATATCATACGTACATTTCCTCATTACACTTCTACATGACCAAGCAATAAACAGGAATCAAATCATTTGTAAACTAACTGCAGGACTGAAAATCTTTTCTTAATGAAAGAATGAAGCTTAGGTCTCCTGTTTTATGCAATTCATAAGCGTCCCTGCATTGAGCCTACCAGCAATGCATACCGCGGTGCTCCTGGCATTTCTTTTTATCCCTCTCACATTTCCTGATTGAAGATGACTCGAAACGTTTCCCTAAGCTCACGGTGCTTCTCTCCCATGTCATACATACTCTGGTGCTGATTTCGGGCATCGTTTTCTATTAACGTTTGCGCAGTTTCAACTTTTTCTGGCATCATCATGGCTTTCTCTGACTGGCCTCTAGTAGACAGCATACAACTTGTATTGTAGTTTAGTCCCTCTTGTTTCCTCCACGTATTTGGGCTTAAGAATTCTGTGCGGCAAGTGGTTGGAATCATTGGGGTCGAAAACCCCAAACAATGCAGCATTTCATCCAATACCTTCTCCAATCCATTCACACGCTTCTCTAATGAATTCATCCCATTCTGGGAACTCCCAATAAATGTCTGAAATAAAAGCTCACACATGTGAATTGACATATAAAGATTGGGGCTTCCATCATGTTAGAGTAGGTCAGTTTTGAAAGTTGGGTGCTCTTTTTTAGTCTTAATCTGAACCATGCTCTTGACCCCATATATTAAGGCTCCGGGGTTTCAATCTTAGGTCAACAAGGAGTTGACAAATGGTATATACGTAGTATGTGAATTTATATTTTTTATATATAGGTTGAGAAGACTCAAATCTGTTTAGATACATGAACAAAAGGAATGCAAATAACATGGAAGTTCTAAACACTGCTTTCTTAAATAAGTTGAAATTCAACAGGGGGGATGATATATACCTCAAGAAATTCCATTAAGCTAGACTGTTGACTCTGAATCAGTCGAAGCTGTTTATGTATCAAAAACAGATCAGCACACTCATCCTTACTTTCCCTGCTATCGTTCATGGCAGTTAAATGATCTCCTACAATCGAATTACCAAACCTGACTTGTACTTCACCAGAAGCTTCATTTGGAACGACTGGATTGCTTTCACAACAACTTGAATTCAAACAACTTTTACCCTCCTCTGTTGAATCAGACTTGTTGACCTTTTCACTCTCATTGTCTTCGCCTGCCAACACTAATGAGGACACCTGCTTTTCTAGGACTTCTGTTTTCAATTCAGAGGATCCTCCAGCATTATCCAGTTTATTATAGGACTTTATGATATTTGGTTTCACACTAACAAAGTTCACAAGACTGTTCTTTTCTGTGGTGGTTGTAGATGAGAACGAACTAGTACTGGAAGCAAGAGATTTGCATCTTGAGAATGAACGCCTCTTCTTGGGAATTTCGATGCCATTATCACTCAAGCTTTTGGATGAAGTCGGGGAAGACACACTACTGCGACAATCTGGATGCACAGAAATTATTAAAAGAACATAAGAAGTTGCCCTTTTTTGATTTGTCAAATACTCATATATGATAAACAGATAAAGTTCCTAAATAAATTCTTTGGTTCCAGGATTTTGAAGGGAAGAAGATGGAGATTTGATTTTATGTTAGTCATTTATTTTTATTTGTTAGTTTTGGATTGAAAAGAACTACACCATATATGATTAATTAACTTCAACATTACAAAGTATTTTTTTAACTTAACATCATTGTCAGATAACTAAATTTGGAAATCATTTTATACGGAGTAATCAATATCAACCTTCTCCCCCCTTTAGAACCGTCTAACCAAACAAATCCTAACTTCGAACTTCAGCACCAGACTTGCATCAGTATTTCATAAACAAATAGTTCTCCCTAAATAAGTGGAGAAGTCATATCTCCACAGAATGTACCACTCAGTTATTACATTTAGTAGTAGTAGAAGCACATTGTAGGGTCAATTGGCTACATACAGTGGCATAGCTAGAGAAGGTCCATTGGCCAGCAGCGGACCCAAAGGGGGGCTAATCCCCCCCCCCCCCCCCCCCCCCCCGCCGCCATTTTTTCTCCTATGTATATTTACCCCGAAATTTTAATACTCATATATTTTTATACTGCCGCCCCTCCTAGAGGGAATTCCTGCGTCCGCCACTGCCATTGGCTACATACAGGGTCCATTGGGATATTAAGCATTGTTCATAGTATAACTCTTTGAAGCTTTGATCCTCCATTATCAATATTCTAAATCCGCCTATGGCCACATGGTTCTCCGTATCATAGCTATCCTGTCCTCTTTTATCATAAAATGAAGAGGGCTTGTTCGTAGTATAACTCTTTGAAGCTTTGATCCTCCATTATCAATATTCTAATTCTAAATCCTCCATTATCAATATTCTAAATCCGCCGATGGCCAGAGATACTGGGGGCAAATCCCGGCCCAATCCCATACCAAAAGCTTTTTTTCATGGGTAAAATTCAGGTGCAAATATTTATATGAATAAGTTATTTTCCTGACTCACCACAGGTTCAAAAATTTAGAGATTCCTATAACGCCACGGGTTGAGAAGTTACTTTCCTCAAGAAACTTTCAATATTACAGGCAAGGTTAGTTGACTACTTGATTATAATAGTAAAATGTGTTATATTAACCGTTCGAACGATGAATAAGTTCCTAGACTTATTGTGAATAGGAATGCACAAATAAGCATTATGTGAAATTTATGTAGTTGGCCTCATTATTTAGCTTCTTTATCCGTACTTTAAAAACAAGGTTAGGTATTGATCATATCATTATTGAGTCTCCATATTTGTCATTCAAAACGACCAATAATTAGCACTAGAGTATAAGGTCAGATCACACAAAACAATAAAGAAACAAAAATGGACAGCAAAATTAGTCATACGTAGGACAAAACATACAAGCTAGGGAATCCAACTGTTTGGCACTAAGAATGAGCTACTTTATGCTCGTAGGGGAAAAATTACTTTATCCAAACGTGTCATACCAAATGGCTTGTACTCAGGATGTTTTTACTTGGACCGTAATTCCTCCCAGACCAGATCAGACCAGTTCAGACCAGTTCAGACCAGACCAGACCTGGTCTTTATCACCATCAACATCTTTATCCAACTTGCGTAGTAATACGCATCAATATCAATTGATCATCTCAAACTAAATATGGAGCATAATTTAAATTTAATAAAAAAAATAAAAAAAATGAGAAATGTAAAAACTATTATCAGTCCAAAATACATTTCTCCATTTAGTAATTGTAATATCAGAAGCCTAAAATCTGAGGTTTACCATTTTTATGTCCAAATGTAAATTTAATTAATAAATAAAACAAACACTAGTACCAGCATGATCCACAAATTCATCATGAAGACAAAGACAGAATGACAGATGGAAAAAGAATACGGAGTAAAAGATATGCCTGCTTTTCCGTTTACCTTTGGGCGAAAACTTGGTTGGTAGAGCAGGCGGGACGGCGACGGCGTCCAAAGACGCCGGAACTTCCTTCCACCAATCCAATGCTCTGTTCATTGTCTCCCTCACGGCCTTCACCTGTTGCATTCGCTCATTTCTCAATTACCAAAGTTTTTGGCAATAATCTGGGGTTTAATATAGGTAAATTTTCCTTAAGTTTCACTTTTTTAATTTTGCTAAGAAGTTTTGTTTATAACTGTTTTCAGTCCCAAACCAAATAAGATCGGACTAAACCAGACTTTCGTAGTTATAAAATACACATAAACTAGTCATTTAACATATCAAATCAGACAAGACTAGACCAACAAATTTCAATCCAAAAGAAAACATCTTAAACCCAGGGTGGATGAGGCGTGCAAAATATAGGATACATACATCATAAATCGAACATAAATACTACCTTTGTCCCTCAAAACTTTGCGGACACGTATAATAATAAAGTAGAAATTGTGTGGTTGAGGTTTGTGCTGAGGATAAAGAATTAACAGGAATTACAAATTCTTTGATTAAAAAAGAAAGTTGCAAAGTTAATGGGACAACCAAAAAAGGAAAATCGACAAAGTTATAAGAGACAGAGGGCACTAAGAGCCCGTTTCATAAGACCCAAATCAGTTGTATTGATTAATTCTAGTGAAATTTATGAAGTTTCGATTAATGTGAATGAATTGGTTGATTTTGGTGATTTAAGAAAAAATTATAGTTCAAATATATTTTATTAATAAAATAAAGAAAAAATTATATAGGACAAATAATATGATTCCATAGTAATTTCAAACACTATAATCAGAAAAGTAATTTCAATCTTATTTTTTATTATAACAAAATTCAGCGTGAGAAATAAAAAGTTTAGTTAAAAGGTTAACTAAAAATCACTATGTTCATCACTTTTCATAAATAGTTACCCTGTAAATTTTACCCACTATTTTTCTATTTCATCTATTTGCAATTTAACATTAGGAGTCTGGTGAAATAGTAAAGTTAAGGTAGCTAAAACGTAGTTGTTATCAGTACAAAATTAAAAATAATACGCCCCCCGTCCCACATTTATCTTCTCAAGTACAAAGTTTCTCTAAACAGAATTCGTAGTATTACATTTTAACGAAGTTCTTAACATTTACGATTCAGAACTTTTAAGTACCTTTTAAATGATACAAATAGAAGAGAGAAATTTAAAGTGGAAACGAAAAATGGAAAGATGGAAATTATTAAAATAGAGTTTGGAGTGCGAAAAATAATAGGGAAATGATTAATAGTGTCAATGGAAAATACATATTTATATGTATTTGAATATGAAAATTCTAAGAAAAAATCAAATCTAATTTGAACTCCAAAAATATTACTACGTATACGTGTATATATAAATACATACTCCCTGTATAACATGTTATATTTCTTACTGTATGTATTATAATTAAATATAAAGACTGAGGGATGTTTGATAAATAGCTATCCGTCTATGGCGGTTTTGAACGGAACCATAAAGATGAAAACGCTGCAAATATGAGATTTTATGTTTGCGTTTTGAAACTTGACGTTATCTATTAATTGTTGTGATCAAACAGCTAAATTATTATCAAATATTTTCCGATAATCTGTCAATTTATTCCGCTCATAAAACTCACTAAATTAATCTGTTATTAACAACTCGTTAACGTTATTCGCTATTCATTAAACGTTAATCGTTATTCGCTAAATGACAAACTCTTAGAAAGAGTTGATTTTATCACCAAACATTTCAACCCAGCTGGTTGTGAGTTAACGTGGCCGATGAGAAGTTTAGAGTTCTAAACAAGCTAGGCACTAATGAAATCAGTTTCACCCTTGTTACACCATGCCCCCTCCCCAAACCACTAAGTAAAAAAAAGAAGTTGATTTTATTTGTGGAATTTGGATCAATTTATTTCCCCGAAATTTACCTTTATGAAAATCTAATGGGAATATACCTTGTCAAATCTTCTGGCATCTAAAGACGCTATGCAAAAGGTCTTGAACTCGGCCACCAAATCTCTTTCCGCCACGGCCAACCGCCCCAGAGTCTCTGACGCTGCCTTCCTTGCCGCCCAATCTTCGCTGCTCAAAAATTCAACTACTGTGGGTACTAATCCGTTAAGTACGTGTCGGTTTGAGGCACCGCCGACGCTCACAATGCTACCAATTAGAGATAGTAAGGATGCTTTAGCTTTGAAACAATCATTCTTCACCAGTTTATACAGCCTCGGGAGCAGTTTCCTCAGCTCCGCCGGGTCAGGGTCCGGAGCCGCTTCAATCGCGGCGGCCAGGCAAAGAGAAGCCCCAGTCTGGGAGTTCTGGTCCTGCTCGTGGAAAATTGAGTCGACAATTGGCTTCAGTATGAAGGAGAACGGCGGCTTGGTGATCTGCGAGGCAATGGATGAGACGGCCTCGACGCAGGCGGAGCGGACGGCGGTGTCCGGGTCCCGAAGGCGGCGGAGGACGGTGTGGAGCATTCTGGACAGATAAGGAGATAGAGCGTCGCCGTGAACGGAGGAGAGCATCCCAATGAGGCGGACGGAGTGGCGGCGAACAGGTGACTTGTCGGAGGAGTCAGTGGCGGCGAGGCAGGTGAGGAAGGGGGAGAATCCGTCATTGGACAGACCTCTTGCAATGGCTTCAAGCTCATTCGTTGCCGCCGTCAGGGTATCCCGGTCCGATATCCGGTTCAGGCATGTGATCACCCGGCTTTTGAAATCAGCGCTCAGCTGTCTAGAGAAGGCCATTTTTGGTGCTAACTTCTATGCTGAGAAAGAGTGACGACGTTTGATGCTATGGCCTAGGTGATGGTGGGGATCAGTGGGGAATGTGGTGGAGCTGCTGGAAATGGCGATGGAAATTGCATCAGCGCTGATTGTGCTTGGAAAATAAAGGGGAGTAGAACGTGGCAATGCGTGGTGAGCATTCGGTTGGGGGGCTATTGATAAAAGTAGCTATTGAACAAAAAAAACGAAAAACAGAAACCGACCGAAACCGAACCGACCAAAACCGAAACCGACTCAAACCGACACCGACTCAAACTGACTATTCATTGACGGTTCGGTTTACGGTTTCACCTTTTGGATTAAAAACCGACCGAACCGAAACCGACCGACAAAAACCGACAAAAAACGTGCTAAAACCGACCGAAACCGACCGAAATCGACCAAAAATAACCGAACCGAAACCGAACCGAAACCGACTCAAGTACTACGGTTCGGTTTTCGGTTTCACCTTTCCTAAAACCGAAACCGACCAAACCGAACCGACCAAACCGAAAACCGACCAAACCGAACCGATGAACATCCCTAGATAAAAGCTACCCGTAGTAGTCCATCTCTTACAATTTGATAGTCTCATTTTTTTTGGCACAAGTTTTAATAAAGTGGTTGAAAAGGTAAAAATTGAGGTTGAGATTTGAGTATAATAAAATGAAATGATATGGATCGCATATTTCTTTCTAAAAGGGGAAATAAGACCATCATTTTGGGACATCCCAAAAAGGAAATACAGACCATCATTTTAGGATGGAGGTAGTAATTTATTTTAGTACTCCATCGGTTCCGGTCATTCTTTCAACTTTCCTTTTTTTATTGTCCCAATTGATTCTTCCAACTTCCTCTTTTGGAAAAAATATGTGTTTCAAATTCATTCACTTTTTTCTTAAACAACTACAATCATACATTTCTACTTTATTTCCAATGTCTAAATTTGCGAGCCAAGACAATTTAAGAAGAATTCACCGGGACGGAGGTAGTAATTTATTTGATAAATGGTATCTTGAAATTAGATTGTCTTATGTTGACCTTATATTATCGAGTATTAAGATGTTTTATTGTTTTTATTGGATTGAAATTTTCCGATTTAGTCTTGTCTAGTCCCAACGGTTTGGTCTACTAGATTTCTAGTCAATGTGTGTTTTACAATTACTAAAGTTTAGTTTGATTTATTTAAGGCCGTCTAATGTGGTTTGTAGTCTAATGTGGTTTGTTTAAGTCGGAAAATAAAAATTGTGTGAAATTTCAAAATATTATGTTTTTCTTTTATATATGAGTACGTCACATATCCTCAAATCCTAAAACTACATTTTAGCATCATTAGGCTTAAAATATGATACTCCGTAGTATAATATACTTGCACAATTGACGGTATCTTTAATACATGTCACTTATTACAACTTCCTATTATCTCTATCTCAATCGATACATTTTGATTATTTAAAAGAGAAAGAAAAAATTCCACTTTTGGTCCCATGACTATTATACCACTTCCACATTTAGTCTTTTACTTTCAGATTGTCCATATTTAGTCCGTGATCATTATCCCCTCACCACCCCTCGTCCTTCTGGCCAAAATTCCAGCAAATTTAGTCCACTTATTAGCCTCAGAATCAGTCTTTGCATTAAATTTTATATAAGGTTGGGTTTTTCATATCAGTCTTTGCATTAAATTTGGTTTTTCGTACCTAAAATCTGCATTAAATTTGCCGTAATTTGACCGGAAGCACGAGGGGTGGTGAGGGGATAATTGTCACGGACTAAATGTGAACAATCTGAAAGTAAGAGACTAAATGTGGAAGTGGTATAATAGTCACGGGACCAAAAATGGAATTTTTTCAAAGAGAAATAAAAAAACTAATAATTGTGTAGTTGAGATTTGTGTAAAGGGGTGAGAAATGAGCGGTCACAAAATTAGTTAATTTAGTGGAAAGCAGCAAAAAATTTTGGACAACCAAAAAGAAAAAAATGACAAGGTATAATGGGATGAAGGGGTACTATTTAGATGGTAAAAATATAGTATTTGTTTTGGAATTCATTCAAAAACGTTCTAATCATACTCCCTCCGTCTTTAAAAGATCACCACATTAGGAGCCCGTTTAATAACACTAAAATCGATTTAATTGACTGATTCTGCTGAAATTTCTAAAGTTGTGGCTGAAGTGACTATATTGGTTGCTTCTAAAGTTCTACTGATTTATGAATAAATTATATTTAAAATATACGAGTACTTTATTAATAAAATATAGAAAAAATTTATATAAATATGGCTAAAATGATCATGTACAATAACTTCAGCCAATACAGTCAGAAAAGTAACTTCATTCTTACTTTTTCTTATTATTACACAATTCAGCGAGCGAAATCAAAAGTTACGTGTTTGGTTAAAAAATTAGTCGATAAGCCTGATAAGCCGAAAAAAGAGTCACCAAATAGGCCCTAAGTCTTGACACAAAAAGTGGGGAATAGTAAGGGCATGAATAGTGTACAAAAAGTAGAAGAGATGGTGAAAACTATGAAAGGGAAGATAAATAATTGAAAAAGTAAGTGTAATTGAATATTTTTAAAGGACAAAAAATTCTAAAAGGGAAAATGTCAAACTCTTAAATACATTCAAAATATGAAAGTGTAGCAAACTTTAAAATAGGGAGAGATTGCAATTTCTTGAAATTTATTTGATCAACCATTCTTGGTGTGCATATAATTTGTACACATTTGGCACAATTTTGTCAGGGGCGAAACCACGACACTGGATCAGACTAGGTCAGTACAAAGAATATTTTTGAAAAATGTTTTACACGAAGTTTTTTACTTTAAAAATATAGAATTTTTGTGGTGGACTAAGACCTAGGTTGGCCCCTAGCTACGTCCATGTTTCGTGTCTACACGGACAATTGTTGTCTTTTTCTAAACAACCTTGTCTACACAGGTAACTAGCGACAGACAATTGTTGTCTTTTTCTAAACAACCTTGTCTACACAGGTAACTAGCACAGAAGTGTACATTTTTTGTGTATATTTTACGCTCGCCTTCGTCACCTGTTTTTTCTAAATAAGATGTTTGTGTATATACAAATGAAACTTTTCATTTTTTTGTTTTTTTTGTTTTGTCACTTGTGGTGACATGTTGATTTTTTTTAAAATCTCAAACGCACCATCTTCCCCATCTCTCTCACTCGGACGAATAAAAATATATATTCTGATAGCTAGAAAACAAATATATATGCTGCCATGAATGATGGCACATGGAAAGCCCGAAAGAAAACAGACCAATGGAAGGGCACGCAAAATGAGGGAATTAAATGAACCTTAGGCACATGTATCATATAGTTGGGCGCACATGGTTTCTTCAACATTGGCGGCGATAAGCCAAGAGCTTTTGGGACACATTCAAGCAAGCCTACAAACACATCTTCCCATTCACACATGGCTTCCCCTTCGGGTCGGGCCTCCCCCACAATATTTTTATTCCTCTCTCCATATTTCGTGAAGGGTCCTTTTAATGATCCTTCTTATATATTGAGGTAGGCCTCCAAATCATTTTCAAATTTTAGAATGATCCATGTGTTGATTGATATACATGCTAGTATGCTACCTACACATGGGATTGAATCCTGATCTCATGTGGATTGAATCTTGATCCTAAAGGATCCACGCTCAGAGAATGTAAATCACGGTAACTTTGTTGACTCAATAATGGTAATCTTGTACTCATGCGTAACAAAGATCCAATTCATCAAATATGAGTTATAATCTCCGCACTGTCGTTACGAGATTAGATCTTTGGTCAATCTCTAATTTTCCTACAATTCGACCAACTGAGCTATCTGTTTGGGGATTGATATACAAGCTAAGTATAGGTAGTCGAACCATTATTTTCAATCTATCCAATTAAAATTACAATCTATTGTCCAAATTAAAATTAAGCTTATTTTCTGTCCAAATTAAAATTAAGCTTATTTTTTGTCCAATTTATTTATTAAAAATAATCTGAGTGTGAACAAGGATCAAGTTGCTTTATCGTTAGTCAAACATCGTAAACCGAATGGGAAATTAATTTTAGGACGGAGGCACTAATATGTTAATTAAAAACAAGCACACATTACACGTGTAACTGGTAGGGTTATTGATTGGATGCCAAACAAACTGGTGCATAAAGAATCAACGAGAAGTTATTATTGTAGCCCACATTTCTGATAGCTTATTATCCTTGCAATTGGATAATATTTGTCGCTTAGCTAGATACATATGCTACATTATTATTTTCACAAAAATAAAGACTTAACCAAGCTTTTCTTGTAGCTGTAATTCTTGAGTTACGTCTATCTATAAACAAAAGTATCACTCTACGGTCTACACCACACTTGAATTTCAAAAGTTTTTTTTGGAAGAATTAGGCTTATATTGAAATATCAACATTTAGATAATGGGTAATCCGACAAACAGAATCCTGACCACCGCCATCTCGCGAAGCAGACTCAGAGTTAATCACCTCAACAAAAACAATATAACTCGTTGATCCATTAGTGGCACAAATGAGCCAAAGACGGTTACCCCGATTCTCTGATCCCCATATCCAAATCAATCGTCTTACAGAAGGAAATACAAAAACAAAACAAAACCCAAAACAAACAGAATAGTCTGGAAATAAGAAACTAAAACTGAAAGGCTTGATTTGTTGCCCGAACTGGTTAACCTACACAAGCACCCAAATCTTCTGCCTTTGAAACTGAATCCACTTAGGCGTTGTACTCCAGGGCGGCGGCTCCAGGGGGGACGCGCCCGCCGCTCATCCGCCACACCCTCAACATCAGCTTCATCTAGATCCAGTTCTTCTTCCTCTACCCCAATCACCAGTCCTCTACAATTTCATGATAAAATACTCATGTCGCTACCCTGTGAGAGTTCTCGTTGTGCCCTCCACGCCTGCTGCCAATAACAGAGTATCTCGGCGTCGTGCTCGCCTGAACGAAACACTACCGGACAAATACGGCTAGGGGTTGCCGACGGCAACCCTAGAGAGAGGATTTTGCAACCCTTTATTCACTACTTTGCACGCTAATCTCCTTCACGAGCCTCACTCCAGCAAGAAACGATCAATCCAGTTGTCTCCTTCAGGTTGGTGGGGCTTTTAGCACTA